CTGTGCCAGTCTATTTCTCTTAATTGGTGAATTGAGTCCATTTACTTTGATGATTATAATTGAGATGTATTGACTAAGGTTGACATGTTATTTACCTCTTGTCTTTTACTCCTTTTTCTCCTGTGTTTAATTGCTTTCGCTATTTAGTTGGTTGCTCCTGATCTCATTCGTGGTGTTCTGATCATTTTGGTTCCTCTCTAGAACATCTTTCACTAGCCTGTGTAGGGTTGGCTTTGTCATCATGAAATTCTTTAGGTGTTCTTTGTCATGGAAGTATTTCAGTTCTTTATAAAACTTGAAAGAGAGTTTTGTGTGGAATAGTAGTCTGGGCTGGAATTTGTTTTTGTAGAGAACTTGAAGTACTCTACACCGTACTCTTCTTGCCTTCATGGTTTTTGAAGAGATGTTGGCCATAATTCTGATGGGTTTTCCTTTGAATGTGATCTGCTTCTTTTCTCTAGTGTCTTTCAGTATATTATTCTTGTGCTGAATTTCTGGTATCTTGACTAGTATATGTTTCGGTGTGTTTTTCATTGCGTTGAGGTTACTTGGAGTTTTGCGTGCTTCTGTTACCTGAATGTTAGATTGTTTCCTTATATTTAGGAAGTTTTCTGCTATTATTTCTGTCCATATTTTTTAATGTCATTTTTATTGACTTTTCTTTCTCATTGATTCCTGTTGGTCTCACATTGTTCATCTTTGTATCATCTTGCAGGTGATGCATTATTTTTTCCTGCATTGTAGTTGTTTTTAAGAGATTCTTTCTTACCTTTTCACTGGGTGCACCATCGTCTTCAAGATCTGAAACTGTCTTCACTTTCACTTAAACAGTTTTGCAAGCTTGTGATTGAGATTTTAAATTCCTCTTTGACTCTGCTTCATGCAATCTATTTCTTTCCTGTATTGCTCATTCAAGGAATCTGTCATTTTTCTAATCTTCTCTATGTTTTTTTTTAATCAATGTCTTCTTTAGAAGCAGTTATAAATTCTTTTACTGCTTTGTTTTTTTCAGGATTGGTTTCCTCCCTATGTTTCTGTAGTTGATTCTTTACTTCAGATGCTATGGGTTCCGAGAGTTCTTTTCTTATTTCAGAAAATTCCATTCTGAGTTCCTTTATGACTTTCTGCTGTTGCTTATTTACTATAGACGCTATTAATTCATATATTTGAGCTGAGTTAATGTCCTCTGCACTTGTTCTGGGTGTGCATGGGGTTTCCTCCATATGTTTCTGCATTTGATTCTTTAGTGCAGATGTTATTAATTCAGGGATTTCTTTTTTAATTTCCAGTCTGAGTTTCTCTATGCCTTTCTGCAGCTGTTTCCTTATTTCAGAAGCCATTGATTCATTGCTTTCAGCTGTGTGATTCCCACTTTGTTCTGTGTTATTGTACTCTGCACTTGTTATGGGTGGGCTTGTGTTCTGAGATTGTATTTAGCTCCTTCTTTTTCTCATTTTGTGTAGCACTGTCTTCTGACCTTTGTCATAGATCTTTGGTGCAGTTATTACCTTAGCACCTATTGAAGTTCAGGTGTAGATCTACAAAGTTTGGATTTATCTAGTTGTGCGTGGCTTGGGTCTGGCTGCTGTGCTCAGTTCCTTCCTGCTGCTGCCCTTGGGTGTGAACCTGTTGTGCCCCTCTGGCAAGATATTCTGCTCCTGGAGTAGTTGAGTGGTTCTGCCCCTACTCCTGCAGGGATTGCAGCTGCAGGGTTTCACCCCAGGCCTGTATGCCAGGCCTGAGTGGAGTCTGGAGGGGACAAGATGGAGTAGCAGGGAGAAGCAGCTCTCCCACTCACTCACTGGTCCTGGTCTAGGACTGGATCTGGGGGTTCCCGGAATGTGACAGAAATTCCTACTCGGTGGGTGGGGTGGGGGTACTATGGAGTGGTGTGGGGCATCCCAAGGGGGTTAAAGAGAGTCTCACCCACACTGCACCTGGGCTGTGACCAGTAGGTCCTGCCAGGGCAGGGTAGCCGGATGCTCTCCCACACACTCACTGGGCCTGTGCTAGGACTTAATCTAGGGGTTCTGGAATGCGGCAGCAATTCCTACTTGGCAGGTGGGGTGGGGGAGGTGCTGCAGAGTGTTGGAAGTGCGTCTTACCCACACTGCACTTTGGCTGGGACCAGTAGGTGCTGCTTGTGGAGGGTAGCCGGAAGCTCTCCCACACACTCACCGGACCTGGGCTCACTGGATCTCTAGATTTCTGTTTTCAATGAAATACATAATGTGGATAATCCCACCAAAGCTATGGTTCTCAGGCTCCCATTAATTTATCTAACATCCCTCTTTGCCAACTTTCTTCTCCATCAGAAGCTTGAAAATCTGAACTGCTCCTTCTACATCCTAACCTAATAGCAAATTTACTCTCTCAATAAATCTAAGTTTTTTCTCATTGAACAGGCATCTCAACAGTCCAATTTTTTTCTCATTATCTTCTGACAAGCTTTTTTTTCCTTCAATTTAGCAGGTGAGCACATAAGCACCAGTAGGTCGGTTCTACTTCCTCTTTCGCAAAGAAGTAGAGTAGCTATGTGAAGAGAGAGACCTTTGCTCCTTCAGCACGCCAAATGAAACAAGGAAAAAAATATATGCATATATTTTGATTTGTTTGATTAATTGTATTGTCAATTCTGCTGGTCTTTTTAAAGGAGCAGTTAATGCTTAAGGTTTTTTATTCTGATTTTTTTTTCCTTTTTTGAATTTCTTATAACCTCCTTGTTATTGTTTTGTTTTGTTTTTCTTTAAATGAATGTTGCACATTTATATCTGGTAATCTAATTTAAAGATAGCACCATGTAATACAGTAACCATGGTTGAATTCCTATTACTTTGTTTAGTGAACTCTTGTATCATTTCAATTTTTTCCTATCACTATTTTGTGTTCTTTAAAAATAAAATAAAAATTTTGGTAAGTAAAGAAAAAGAATTATGGGGATAAGTGTCTCCCATGAGGAAATGAGACAGAAGATTAGGGCATGGAAATTGGCTTGGGATTTGGGGTGATCTGTTAAATACAAACTCCCAGCATACATTTGCAGAGTACTTCCCTATGCTTGCAGATGGAGCCAGAGAGTGGTCTCTCCAATTCCTTTCCTCAGAACTCCAGTAAGTTATCAGTAGGATAACCTAGACCTGTCAGCCTGCGGAGGTGCAGAGACAAAGAGAGCTGCCTTGAGCTTATGTTCCTGTGTTCTCCCTTTCACAGTAGTCTGCTCTCACAGTATAGCTTGTGCTTCTTCACTAGTTTCACTTTGTCCCACATCATCTGTACAGCATGTGTATTTTCCTGTTTTTAATAAATGTAAAACCATGCTACCTTTTGTACTTTTGTCTAATTCTTTATTTGATTTAAGAAAAACGTGGAAAACCACATCTGGAAAGGCACTTCCCCAAAATCCAGACCTTAGTAACAGTACTATCGTAAAGCACCAATAGTTTATATTAAACAAATTTTTGCAGCAAAAAGTCAGAATGGGGGTAGGATAGTAAAATCAGCTGAGAATTTTCTAGAAATGAAATTGATGAATGGGTGGTTGGATAATTCCTGCAGTAAGGGTTGGATTTTATCATACCACAGTGTTCACAGATGTAATATTTTATAGATCTCATTTAATGTAATAGTTCACAATCTGGATAATTGAGTCATATGTACTAATTAAAATTCCAAATTTAAAAAAAATCACACTGTAATGGGCTATCCCAAAACTTTTTCCTTAAATCAGTGACTTCATTTAGTTAACACTGCATTTAAATTTCTCTCTTGTTTTCATATTTAGTGTTATTTTTTGATAATGGGATGACTATGAAGGGATGTCACATGAAACGATGCCCACAAAATACATTCAAGAGTATTCTATTAGAACAATGACTAGTTCAAGGAAGATTTTTGACCTAATATAGGATTATAAACTCAGATATTTACTTTTGAAACAATTTTTAATCTTTGAGACTCTGTTGATTTGAGTAATGTTTACCTGCAGATCTTTCTAAAGTCCTGAGAAATTTTCTTGAAATATTAAAACATACTTCACAGGATGCCATTGCATATGACTCTCTTCATCTTTTGGACTATTATATAGGGCATTTGTTTTGCTACTGGATGATAACAAAAATAAAATTAAATACATGAAAATAATGTTTTAAGTCTGCTGTAAAACTGCATTAGTAAGTTCTGGTTGTTTTAAATTTTACCTAGAAAAATAAAATATTTTGAAGTTTTACTTTCTGAGTGTTAGGCTTACCTCCACATTTTGATTTTCTGTGTTTCCAGGGTTTTGAAGGTGTTTCTTTCCCGAACAGCACAACGAATTCCATATATGACTGGTGGCCGGGTCATGAGGATGCTAGCAGTCATGCTCTTGGTGGTGTTTTGGTTTCTCATTGGCTGGACTTCATCTGTGTGCCAGAATTTGGAGAGGGAAATTTCACTTATTGGCCAGGGGCAGACATCTGATCACCTCATCTTCAATATGTGCCTCATTGACCGCTGGGACTACATGGCAGCAGTTGGTATGTAATGAATCACTTGTTTTATGTGACTGTCTTGTCCTTTTTCAGTATTTCTGTATTAAAACTGGGATTTTAAAAAGGATTAGCCCAAGTAAGCCTGGGGGTACATGCCTATAATCCCAGTATTTGGGAGGTTGAGGCAGGAGGATCGCTGTGAGTTTAAGGCCAACTTGGGTTACAAAGTGAGTTGAAGGCCAGCCTAAGCTGCATAGTAAAACTGCCTCAACAAGACAGACAGACAGACAGAGAAAGAAAAATGAAAAGAAAAAGAAAGAATACAAAAGGAAAGGATTAGCAAACCCTTTCACAAAGCCCAAAGAAATTTAATCTAATATAATTCTGGGAAAACAATTATAAAAATGACCATAATGGTGTCTGAGTGGTTCCATTCTATTTCAAAGGTACATAGCTTTGTTAAAAATTGTAAAGTGAAATGAAGTGATGCAGTGAACAAGGGCTACTTCTGTGTACAAAGAAATTTCTTGCTTCTATATTATCAATTTGTCTCCATTTGATTAACAGTAGCTAATACCTTGATTTATATATTTAGTTAGGAAGCAAAAACAACGTTTTCTGTATTTTTGATCCTATTATCTCAGATTCTGTGTGTAGTGTGTTCTTTGTGAAGAGATTTCCTCTAACAAAGCTCCAATTAATCTTTCTTTCCAAGACTTATCTCCAAAGAAACTTTATCAGTAATTGTCTGGAGGCCCAGTAAAGAATGATCTCTGCTACTTGGAGGGAGCAGAAACTTGAGAACTTAGAAGAATACAGTGATTGGGGCTAAAAGCACACAGACTATTTTTCTAATATTCACTCTTTGAAAACTAAAGGGAACCTATAATAATTTTTTTCTGTTACTAACAATAGTTTTATTTTTTGTTTTTTTGAGACAGAGTCTCAGTTTGTAGCCAAGGCTGACCTTGAATTCATGGCAATCCTCCTACCCCACCTCCCAAATTCTGGGATTACAGACATGTCACCATGCCCAGAGTCTACCAATAGGCTATTTTTAACTAAGTCTGTAAAGATACAAAAGCAAAGAATGAAGGAAGCCCTTTATTATTTCCTTGTTCTTCCTCAGAAAACCATGGGACAAACTTTAATTTTGTGGGACTGACATAAAGCTAAAATCATGGTTTAATTCCTATTTTATACCCCCTCCTTATTTGGCAATTGTTACCTGAATATTCATGTCTAGCCCTTTCCTAGAAGCTGGTAAAAATGTGTATTTATTCATTAACAATACCAAATAGAAAATGTTTTTCTGGGTAAGATATTTTAGGACTCATAGGCATCAAATCTATAATAGTGAGGTGAGATGGGTATGTAAAGTGAATGGCTTTAATGAGAGTATATAAAGTTTAGCTTTGGAAGTAATTGACAGTGACTTTGATCTGAATTGAAGATTAAAGCAGTTGCATAAATATATGAACAGTAGGAACCCCTAATTTATTTTTTTTTGTATTTTTTAATGCAAGTTAATCAAGCTAGGAAAAATCATTCCCTTTTATTGCTATCAAGGAAAGCCCATTAGATTTATTTTCTGTTACACAAAATACTCAAAATATTTGATAACACCGACAAGTAGATAATATGTCCTGTTCAGGTAGCATTGTTTTGCAGTTTTTTACACATTGTCTTTTAGACATATTCGATATCTTTTTAAAGTTTATGTGGTACTCTGAAGTGTTTACATTTCTGGGCAGGGAGATAGTTCAGTGGAATAGGTGCCTGCCTGGCAAGCGCAAAGTCCTGAGTTCAATCCCTGGTACCACCAAAAATAAATAAATAAATAAATAAATAAAGTGTTTATATTTCTATATAATATAATTGACAATAATCTGGAATTCATCTTACATAAAGATACTAAAAACTAAGAGTTATGTGCAATGAACAGGGTCTACTAAGTACCTATAATTTCTCTGGTGCTCAGTTGAATACCTTTGAGGAGATATGAAATGTATAAAGGTCTAATCCTCTCAGAGGGAAGCTACTATTGATTAATATAGATATGTGGTAATTATTGCAAATTGTTAAAAAGCAAAATTGGTTGGCAAAAACTCTTGGTGCAATAATACATCACTAAAGGAAGAGAAGAGCTTGAGCCACAGCTCAGCAATATTTATAAAGAAGTTCTTTGAGTCATGGGTACTATTTAGGTTGTTATAAAGAGGTGTAGAGAACATTCCATTTGATAGAAATAGCGGCAGATGGAGGTGGGTGGGAATTGTATGAAACATGAAGGAAATATCTAAGTATAAAAGAGTTGGAATGCATTATGTTGGAATACATTGTAAATGTTGCAGAGTGGCTAAGTTTATTGAAAACATTTATAAGAAATTCAGAAAACTGGCAGATTAATGCAAGGAATCAGTAAATTCAATCTTGATTGCTTTAGAATGTTATTTAAAAAGGAAATTATACCACAGGAGGGATTTATGAGATGAAATTGTCAGATTGGAGAAAAATTTTAAGTAGTGGTTCTGTAAGCATGGTCCCAGCCACAGCACCTTGGGAACTTACTAGAAATACAAAGATTTGAGGCACATTTCAGACTTTCTCAATCAAATTCTCAGGCCCTGCAGGCCAGCAGTCATTGCTTAGTAAGCACTCCCAGTGAGCCTGAACTATTGGCTTTAAAGATGTGATCAGACTAACTCACCGGAACACTGATCTCAGGCATGCTATGGCCATAGCACAGCAGTCTGACTGTTCCCTGGATCAGAACCATTAGCATGATCTTTACAGTGATTGCTGCAGTTTTTCCTCACATGCTTCCGCACTATACAGTGAAGTGGAAAGCTAGCTATAAATAAAGTTCATTAATTTAAAGGAGGGCTCATTTTATTTTTGTTTATTGCATAGTACTGATCCAAAAGGAGGGCTCATTTTATTTTTGTTTATTGCATAGTACTGATCCAAAAATTGCATAATACTGGATTGGATAAGATGGCTTTCTTACTGCAAGTATTTCAGAAAGAAAACACAGGTAAAGGAAATAGTTTGGAATAATCTTCAACCCTCCTTGAGCCTCAATTTCTTCGTTGAAGAAATGGTTTACGTTTTATTTTGTTATTTCTAAAAGATCTTTTATTTATTTGGTACAGGGACTATGCAGCTCAGACTTGTAATAATCCCCCTGTTTTAGCCTCCCCAGCACTGGGATTACAGGCGTGCACCACCACGCCCAGTTTCAGAACCAGGAGAGCATGTGGTACCGGGATTGAACCTAGACCCTTGAGCTTGCCAGACAGATGCTCAGACCACCGAGCTATCTCTCCAGTCTGAAATTTTAAAGGGGTAGAAAAATGACTTTTAGAATGCTGTTGTCATTTATGCCCATTTATAATTTTGAAAACTAATCTTGTATAAAAGTCTTAGAGATAAGCTTTAGTATAAAACAAAGAAAATACAAATATTGCAGCTGTGGAAGGCTGATGGATCTCAGACAATGTGCACAGTGCTTGATAGTGCAAGGACTCATATTTTAAAATAACTTTATTGAGAAACAAATAGCAATGAGACAGTTTCAAAACTAGTAGGACAGTTTCAATAATTAATACATTGCATATGGTTGTCTTCATAATGGTTGTTCATAGTACAAGATGCAGACATGATATTCTGTCCACAAACATTATTAGTACAAATCTTTTTTTCCATAATTTTATTGAGAAATAAAAAGCAATGAGACAGTTTCAAATCAAATTG